GCCAAGCATGGGGGATACGTATGGCTGGAGACCCAAGGAACAGTGATTTACAACACCCGAAACCTGCAGCCCCAGTGCATCGTCTGCGTCAACTACGTGCTGAGGTGGGTTCAGGGGACACATCAGAGCACGTGTGCATTCACATGCTGGAGAAACGCAATATTTGGAGGAACTTTTTAGGGGTCTATTTATTCAACGTTGTTGTTCCGAAATCAGTTTAGTCATGTTTGTTCAGTCTTGTTTACTGATGTTAGACGTCGATGAAAAATGTGGCATGCCTGTTCCCATAGGCACTGTTGAAATACACCACAGCCTTTCTCCTCTGCAGAGTGGCTGCTGTGCTTGTACAACAGAGAATAAGGTCTGCATTGAAGATTTTATTGTGTAACACAGCTGCTAATGTGTTTTGTTTTTCTAGTGCTGTGACCAAGAGATAAAACTAAGTAGTAACAGTATCGTATGTTGCTAGGAGAAGCTGTTTACAGCCTTAAAAATCAGGACCAATCAGAAGTTTTGCCTTCATTTGGAAAAACTCAAGGTTTTTTGGTCCTAGTTGGGGTCAAAATAGGAAATACTTATTTGAGTGATAGTCTGGGTCATAACAGCCTCGACTACATCCTTTAAAAAGCAGAGCAACAAAGCCCTGAGTATTCCCACAGAAGTCCTGACCACCCTGTCTGCGTCACCCGAAATGGTGGTGCTGAGCAACGCTGGAACTGTGCCTCGCCTGTTGAGAGCCTGGCATGCAACCGAGAGGCCAAAGCGGTCCTATAGCCCCAGCTTCAGGGAGTTTGTACTGCCTACTTTATCCACACCTTTCATCTTTATGGTACAAAATGCCTAAAACCTGTTTTCTCATTAGTGAAATTGAGAAGAACGATGTTGTGTTCTCCATGGACCAAACAGAATCACTCTTCAAGCCCCACCTGCTGACAATGAACACTGCCTATGACAGCGGCATCCCTGTGACAGAGAAGAGTGACTTCTTGTTTACTAAGCTAAAGGAAGAACCAGAGGAACTTGCTCAGCTGGCACCAACACCTGGTGATGCCATTATTTCCTTGGATTTTGGTTAGTATTTGTATAAATTATTTTTGTGCAACAAAGAACCACATGTGAGCCTACATTTAGAAACTTAGTAGACGAGGTCTGTTTGCTGTGTGTACAAATTGGGAGTAATGGCTAAAAGAGCCCACATGCTCACACCAGTGGAAAATTTCTGTGAATGAGAGCAGAATCAGGCTTTCTTGCTGACTAAATAATGTGCATTAAGACTATGCCAACTTATTGTCATGGCAACTAGGAGCAGTGTTTACTTCTAATGAATAGTGCAGTTATATCATAACACTGCACCAGCTAAAAGTATTCATTAATATTGTTAAAACCCCATCCAGGAACACAGAAGTTTGAGGAAGCCCCTGCCTTCACCAATGCTGTTTTGACACCAAACAAAGCATGGCCAGTGGAAGTGAAAAGCCACCCAGCTCAAGGTGAAACACTGACGATACCATCCTTTACAATGCCTCAGATTGCACCTGGCAGCAGTACTCCAAGTGCAAGCAGCAACAGTAGCTGTTCCACGGTAAGAAGAACTTTAAAAAAACATTAAAATCATGTTTTGTTTTGTATCCAAATCCCATCAATATATATAGACAACATTTTTGTGTTGGCAGTCCCAACTCACGTCTTATTAGCAAGGCCCAGAGTATCTCTGTTCTTCCTACACTGCATCATGCCTTAAGAATTAATAGCAAAACTATGAAATGGGAACAATATCCTGGCTTCACATTGCAGTCCTCATTGTCTTCCAGCTTACCCTTTACTAATTACTGTAACATATAAAACAACTAGTAGGAGAACATGCTACCACCTTTCATGGGGTTAGCCTTATATAAAAAGCCAATGTAAAATTGTGTGGCCACTGGGATCATTACCCCAGGCCAGCCTCCTTCTGTTAAGTAGAAGCTGTAGCTTTTAGGAAGCTTAGCCAAGTCAGGCTTTTGAGAGCAGCTCCTTGGCGTTTCCCACTGAAGAAATGAACATGCTTCTGTGGCACTGTCCCCAAGAGCTGGAGCCACTCTTACCAGAGGGCATCCAGTCTTAAGAAAAGCATGGAGGTATTGCTAAGCATCTTCTTTCTTGATAAAAGTATTTAATGGTGTACATTTCTTGTTCCTGGTCTAAGTTGCCAAAAAACATTTAAAATAGGATACAACTAAGTTCCTGTAATGGGTGCCTATGTTTTGCACTGATGATCTTGTTTCAGAGAAAAGTTTCTGATAGCAGTGGACAGTTTTGGGTTCTGAGCACCCTAAATATACCATCTGCCCATTCATTTTTCGTAGGAAAGATCTGTTATTGAATAACAGCGTGGTATTAATGACATGATGCTAAGCCAATACTGTGGTTGTCTTCCTGCTTAGAAAAAAATTGTTATTTCCATGCAGCCCAGCAGCCCAGAAGATTATTACAGTTCTGTAGATGAAGACCTTAAGATCGAGGTGATTGAAAAACTCTTTGCCATGGACACAGAATCAAAAAGTCAGTGTACCTCCCAGGTAATGAACTCCCTCTTCCAAAAGCCAAGATCAGTCTCCTGCTAGTAGACAGTACAGCTGCATGTTGTGTGTGCAGATATTGGGATACAGCATTTAAACTGCATTTGCACAAGCACCCCAAATCTTTGACGCATCTTAACAAAACAGTTGACTTCCAAAAGCTGCCATGTCAATCTCTGCCCCTAACTCTCTGAAACATGAGGTTTGGAGTGCCACTGTGGTGGCAACGAGCTTTCAAAATTTGGAGGCTTCTGTAGATTGGATACGGAATATAAACAGCGGCAATTTGTTTTTAAATGCAGCTGAATGACTAATGAGTAAACATCCGTTCTAGAACAAAATATAAATAAACAAATGCTTGCAAAACAACCAAATGAGAGAGGAATGCCCCTCATAGCACACATCTCCTTTAACTACAAAATGAAAACTCATTTTAGATATATGCTTCCTCTTTTGCCCCTTGGAAATTTTCAGAGAGACTTGAAAATTCCGTGCACATAAAGTAAACACAGTCTCCATCTCCTACATTCTAATAATGATGTAAGTGTAAAAATTCCCCCTATAAATAAATAAACCCATTATTACAACATTACAGCAAGTGAGCTAGTGAATAAAAGGTGTGGGCCTGATTCAGCTTATTTAACTTTAGATACTTAATTGAAATGCCTTTGTGAAGAGCTTATACTTTATAGTTGAGAGAAAGGAACAGGCACTGCTGATTGGTAGCATAGACCTCACACTCATCTCTATCTATTAATCCTACAGAAAGTTTGGGATGCTGGGGCCCAAATTAGGTACTTCCATTTGCCAACACAATTTGCAGGCTTAGTTAGGCTGTAATCCATGTTCTGAAGAAATTTTGTCTATGTCTGGACATAGAAATGAAAGCAAGAGAAAGAGTGGACAGATAGGAGACAAGTGTGGAGCAGGATGAATCCCACTGCAAGACTTTACATGTGCGAACTTCAGTATTGTCAGATTCAGAATCTGCTTACTCAGGTGTTTCCCACCACATCAGCTATTTTGGTGGGAAAAACAAGTATTATAAAAGTGCTGCAGGGTTTGGGGGGCCAACATTGATTATCCTCTCTGTTCAGCTCTGGTCAAATGCCAAGAGAAGTGAATGTAGGTATGACTAGTCCTCCAAGGGAAAAGCAGAATACAGACTTAAGTGTGATAATGTCCTTCTGGCTACATTTTTTCAACCCTCACATTTTTAGACACCTTTTTTTATGTAGCTGGATTATGAGAAAGCTGTGTTTTCTATTTTAACATGAAAAAGCCTGAGGTTGAACTACATGCCCCATGTTGTAGAGTCTTGGCAGACAAGTTATTCAAAGCTTAGTGAAACAGCATCTTCTTCAGATCACAGTGATGCTGGAGGCTGCATGCAAGCTGCTTTAACAAATATTGCTCCTCTGGGAGGTTTTTTCCTTCAGTTTGTTGTCTTAATTTTGCTGCTGATGATATGATGAACATGTATGCTAGCATAGAAATAAGACACCTTTAAACAGGGCTTTGCCAATATTATTAGGTAAATCTGGCATACAGTGATTTTTCAGCTTTGTTAGTATTCCATATCACACTAGCTGCCACAACTATTACTAATTTATGAACTTACTTCATCTTTGCACAGACTGACTTTAATGAACTGGACCTTGAAACCTTGGCTCCTTACATTCCTATGGATGGAGAAGATTTCCAGCTCAGCCCCATCTGCCAAGAAGAAAGTCCTCTCTCTGAAAGTGCACAAAATACCCAGCAGCATCTAAGTAGCATGAGTACCATCTTCCAACCCCTTGCTCCTACTTCACAGAATCAGTTCTTCCCAGAGAAATATTGCCCACAGCTATCAAATGAAAAAATTAACTCTGGTCATGGGTCCCTGTCATCGGCGTTCTTCAACAATATGAGTAGGTCAACCCTGCCACCATACCATGACCAAGCCAGCACTCCCCTGTCTTCAATGGGAGGAAGATCAAACACCCAGTGGCCACCTGATCCCCCATTAGAATATGTTCCTGCAAAATGGAGACTCATGGATAAATACTCAGGATCCCTATCAAGTTCCCCCTCGGGTCCACCAATAACTTCTCAGAGAGTGCCCATATATAAAAAAAGGTATGTGTTTCTGTGGCATAACTATGCATATTTACCCAGAAAATATTCTGGAAAATGAGAAGGGTCATAATCTTGAAAATTAATTTTTCTCAATTCAGCTGAAACAATTTGTTGCAATAGGCATCAGACTGCAGCTCTGGGGAAATTATTGTGGTGCTCTCCCAGTGGCAGTGAGTCTGAAGAAGCAGAAGTGGGCTAATTTTTCATTGCCTGTTAGGATAGGCAAATGAATTTCCTGCTGGTCCGGTTAAAATTACACCAGTAATTTTGCAAAGCATGTTTGACTTTATGCAATTTAAGAACAGTACCAAAAAGACTTACCAGTCCAGCAGTAGCAGGGACACACACATACTTTTTTACCTTGCATATATTTTCTGCACAACAGAAAATGGGGAAGAGAGAGGAACAAAAGTACATTATTACTGGCATATGTAAATACTACAGCCAAGACTTAAATTGCAAGGCTCTTTTTCTACAACCTTTTTGTTTGCTTTCCTACATGTGAACAGTATGTGATGAGATGTAGATCAGAGGGCACAGTCCTAGAAGTTGCCTCATAGCTAGAAGTTTCTCTGTAGCTCTTGAGTATTCAATGTTGCTCACATGGACATGTTCAGGAAGTACATAAAACAGCAATAGTAATTTAAAAATTTTGAAGCTGTGCAGTTTGCTTTTTTGAATTTCTTGTTGGTAGAAATACCAGTGTCTGAATATGCATCTGGAAAGAAAGGGTTTGTCCCCCGTCAACAACTTGTGTGTTCATACTTAGTACATAAAGCAAGGGGACATGCATGGCTCTCAAATCCAATTCTTAAAAATCACATTACTTTCTTTTCCACAGCATTTTTTTGTCTGGCTGGATATCCCTAGAGGCTGTTTATACTAAACTTTCATAAGTCTTTGATCCCAAATGTCAAATATTTCTAAAGATGGTGGGATGAATAATAAAAGGAAATAAAAACATTTGATGTTTGAGATCTGTCCACTGGCAAGTCTCAGACACCTTAAACGTCTTTAAATGCAAGAAGAATCTGTAAAGGAGCCAGATGATTTTAATTTGCCTTCCTGTGCACTCACAAAGATCTCTCCACAGGCCCCTTGATGCTTTTGGACAACGAGGCATAGATGTAAACCCAGCAAGACTTGCTCTGTCTAACAGTTTGAAACTGAAGCGACAGCTGGATTATGAAGAACAAGCCTTGCAACAGCTGAGTGGGGTAATCATAAGAAATGCATCCCCTTCACAACTTTGGACTCACCATGGTCATCAGTGTAATTGGTTTGCTTCCCTCCTCATTCTAGGGAGATCCATCTGTCATTAACCCGTCTCACTTAATGTGGAAGAGAATGAAATTTCTCAAGGGGGAAAACTGTTCCTTGGCTACAGAAAAGAAGTCTCTCAGCACAGGTGTTCTTACTGGTAAGACAAAAGAAAGTGGTTTTGCAATATTACATATTGAAACACCATTTTAAGACCGGTTGAATAGGGAAAAAAGCTCTTTCAAAAGGAAATGTAAATAAGCTCTGTAAATATTACATTAAGCTAAAATTAAAGATCAAGTTGTATCACTAAGAGCTGAACAATTTAAAGGTACTTTTGATAAATACCATTTAGTTGGTTTCACATATGTTCACACACTTGCTTAGGAGGGAACAGAAAACAGCTTCATGGAGCTGTGTTTGCCTCCTGCTGATCCAAGGTGTGAATATCTCAGAGCTAGAACAGATCCTGCTTCTCTACAACACTGTGTTTCCTTACACAAGCATATCTTGACTGCAGTACTACTGCTAGAGTTGGGACTATTTCTAGACTTCCTTTGTGATAAGATGTATTATCTACTATAGTTATTGCACTGGCTTAATTTAGCTTTTTTTTTTTCCCTACTATTTAAATAACAGATGAATTTTTCTGTAACTCGAGAGGTCTGAGCCAACCAGTAAATCAACTGCAGCAACAGCAGCAGCAACATCAACCCACCTGTGACAGTCCGGGTGAGAATTTGAAAGCAGGAGCATTTCCCCCTCTGTTTTACAGTTCCCATTGTCAGGACTACAGTGTCCAGCCAGCTCATAAAGCATCAGGTAAGAGCTGTCAAACACAGGGATTGGAAAATGTTGGTATTTTGTTCCAATGCTGATTCCATGAAGAAAAAAAAAAAACACACACAAGGAGGAAGATGATAAAAATCAATAAAAATCAAAATATAGCACAAAAATCTGTGGTTTAGTGTGAAACTGGAATGTAATTTGTAATACATGAGAAAAATATTTTTACCGTTCATTTCAGTTAAACTTAACACCTGTTCACCTTGGAGGACCTGTCATCCTCCATCCATACTCGTGTCTTGTGATAGAATTGATTATTATATCACAATAAACAACTTGGCTGCAGCACTGATATGGAAGTTTATAAGTTAGAGTCTTAACATGTGCCTTCTAAGTGTTGAAATAAGTAATTAAAGGGGATGTGTGTCTGTTCTTTTTAACATAAGAGAGGAGTGGTGTCAATTTAGAAGCCATGTCTTTTACTACAGCTTTTCTCATCTGCACCAATACGGTTTTTCTCAGAGCAATCTCACTTTGGGGGTGGAGGTGAAAAACTGCACTTGTCAGTGCAGCAGTTTAAGGAGGGGCAGAACACAGGTTTGCTCTGACACCTGGAACTGCTGGTGGTTTGAGGCACATTGACATAAAAACAGAATGAAACTGGTGTAAACAGCAGAGGTGGGAGGAAACAAGTGCCCTTTGTAGTCTCAGCACCTTAACTTACTTCAGTGCCGTGTTCCAGGTGTGACCAGCCGCCTGCTGGGGCCCTCCTTCGAGCCCTACCTGCTGCCCGAGCTGACGAGGTATGACTGCGAGGTGAACGTGCCCGTGCTGGGCAGCTCCATGCTGCTGCAGGGCAGCGAACTGCTCCGAGCGCTGGACCAGGCCACCTGAGCCACCCCCCAGTATTCCACGGCCCATACTGTTCAAAACAGCTTCTGTTTTTAAATATATTTTTGCAAGTAGACAATTTCTAATACCAGTACACTTTTACAGGATTTTACTTAGATATTGAACCTGTCCACATTACCAAATAGTGGCCTTTTGAAGTTACTCACTTTATTATTCATATTAAAGAAATACATCTACTGTATTTTCTCTATTGCAATTAAAGTGGTGTTTAGAGAGTTTGATTACCCCCCCCTTATCTCATTACCTGTAATTTATATTCTGAATTTTTTTTTTCTAATTTCATGCTAATAAAAAGCTGTGGTATAAACGCCTCATCATGTGATACTTTGGCTGCAGTACTGCAAAGATATATTTTTATTGCCAAAGATGAATGAAACAAATTTGATCACCAACCACAGTTTTTTGTTGATCTGCCAAATTAAAATCTTTTTGAGTCTTTCTGTTTTCCAGCATTTATTTTATTGTAACTTTAATAACTTTTGGAAAACCATACTAAGGAAAGATCCTAGCCTTCTGCCTCCCATCCTTTTCCTTCATTTTTATACACTTTGTTGAAAGAAATGTGAATGGTGAAATGCAATGTTTGTGGGTATCTGTGAAAGTTGCACGTTTTAAGCTTTTTTTCTCAGAAGCAAGCCACATTTTCAGCTGCCTTAACCTGGCTTAGTCCACAGCCAAGGGAGTCCTACAGATTTGCCCCAGTGGAGGATTTAGGCCTCTGATTTAATTTGTGTTGAGGTTTCTTGTTTCGTTCTTTTTTGTTGCCTTTATTTTTTACACAAAACAGATTTTTTTTTTAATTATTATCTCTCTCTGGGTCAGTTGTTAATCATCTCTTGGTACTTTTCGCTATTATCTATGACACAACTACTTTAAGAGCTGTTTCTGCTAGAAACTTGTAGTATTTGTTATGATGTTGCTGATATTTCAGGAATCAGAGCAGTGGCCAGTACTAACACCTCTGATTAATGTTACCCTTTTTAATTTTATATGCCAGCTAGCAATATAATTGCAATATTGAATCAAAACATCTCAAACTGGTATTTTCCAGTGTATTAGGCTAACTCAGTTATAATTAGACAAAAAGAATTAGGGGTTGCATAGTGAGATGAATAGCCAGCAGGGAGGGCTCTCATTTTTACTTGCCTTACATTAATCAGTAGCTAAAAAGTCATTAAAATGCAACCAGACATTTTCAGAGCTCCTTTTCAACTATCATTAATTGTCATGCACATATTTGAAAAATAGAGCTTTGAATGCTTTCAAAGGGTTTTGAAAGTTTAAATTACAGCATCTCTAAAAGGCAAAAAATAATACAATAAAAGGCAAGTGAGCAGTTCTGACTTAATACATACAGACTTAGATCTGTGTTGGGATCTATCTTGTTTCCTCCACTGGTATAAATCACTGTAGATTCACTGAAGAAAATGAAACAGTGGCAATGTACTAAAGGTAAAAGTCTGGCCCAGAAACTTAGAACAAAAATATATTTTTGAGACTTCTGAGTCTGCTGAAGCCTGGTGTATAAAATTGCTTTATTTCATGCACTGACACTTGCATAGAGAGAGCCTTGGGTTCATAGAGCACTTCAGAGTTCACTGTGCTAAGCAAGTCTTAACCACACACACTTAGAAAAGCTGAAGACCTTTTGTTATGGGTACATGATGTAAAAAAAATATATTCCCTATTGTATCTTTCAAGAGTTTATTACCAAAAATAATCTACTCATAAAGATATTACTGTGTGAAAAAATTTATTGTAAGCATCAACATCTGATGAAAATTGGCCATCCACATTTGACAAATTTGCAGTGGCACAGACTTAAGGCTTCAAGGATTAAAGACACTTGAATACTGCTCTTCTGTTTCTTATTTGTGTAGTTTCAGCATTAAAAATGTTATACCCTAACAGTTTACTAAAACACTCTAAAAAATATTCCATGTCTTAATATTAATCATACTTTTTATCATAATTATTTCATAATCTATATTGCTGAATTCTTATTGACAATATTATAACTGTATGGGAACTTTAACTTGATAAGGAAATGTATTTTGACACTGATACCTTATTAAAGTATACTGATCCTAAATTCTTTGTGACTCATTTGCTATGAATTTGTTATTTGTTGTATCATTGTAAAACAAAAGTATTTATTAAATTATTTATAGAAAATAAAGGTTTGCATTGATCTTTGAAGACTGAAAAAACAATCAAATGCTACCCATGTTTGAGAGCTGGGAAGGAGCCTGCCAAAGGTCCATACTATCAATTGCTTTGTAGAGTTTACCTGGCTTCCCTCAAAAGAAGAATTAATGCCCTGCAGACCACTGCCCTTCTGGAACTTGTCTTGTGGCTCAGAGCGCTGCTTCTATTTGAAAACTCTGTTTCTACCTGAGCAGCTGGGGATGCCTTTTGTAATGCTACCCTTACAAAAAAAAAAAGAGAGGGAAAATTAAGTCCACCAAATCACAGGTCAGAGGCTGAACTGCCACCGTTTCCAACCTGAGTTTTGGTGGAGAAACAAAAGCCATCATGTTCTAGCAGTCTTGGCAAGCCCCAGACTAACGGGCTTTTGCCATCAAATCCTTCCAAGCCTCTGCTTTACCCTGACAGTAGTCATTAATCCCAACGCTGCTGTTAAACAGGTCAGTCCTTTTCCATGTAGAAAATGCCAGTTTTGCCTGTGTAATTACACTGATCACATAGTAGGAGGACAGACAAATTTAAAAATTAATTTCCAAACATGCCCTTAAACTTCAGTGCCGTGTGGAAGCTGTTAATGCTTGACCCTTCTGACAGCTGCCTTTGAAACATGCAGTGCCCACACAGACGGCAGTGAGCTGCTCAAGCAGCATCAGTTCTTGTCAAGAGCCTGCAAAAATGGGCTATCATTACCTTCTTTCTTAGACTGGACACTCCGTAGGGGTAGAAATCAAATCCTTGCCTCTAAATCTGTTGTAATTAACATGAACTATACAAAACTCTCCCTTTTAAAGTATGCCCTTAGTCTTTGTCTAAGTGTCCCCAGGACTAACTCAGAACAGCAGATCCTAATCCAACTGAGTATTGGAAGAAAAAAAAAAAAACAATCTCTGAAATAGATATTAACCTGTTAAGATCAACTTCTATCTTTTGAAGAGTGCAATAGCTAACTTTTAATATAAATTAACAGGCATTATTTTTTGGGGTGTCCAAACAGCCGATTGCTCACACACTCAAAAGGGTCCTGCATTCACCATTCTGATGTTCAAATAGCTGAAGGAATATACTGGTAGTGCCTTGAGCTGCCTTTTTTCTTTCCCCCTCTAAGCTAAATGCTTCTCATGTTAGTGAGTTTTAACAGTTTTTCCTTACATATATGAACATTCTGGACAGCTAAACTCTGACAGTACAATTTACATACCCCAAAGACCCTGGTCAGAAACACGATGC